TAAGTCTTTAAGCAGATATTTACCTACACTCATGTCAAGCAAGTCTGCATAGAAATTCCTTAAGTCTGTCAAATTCTAGTGTCCTGCAAAATTCATTATGGAACAGGCCATTCCCCCAAACAGGCCAATTGCTACTACTAAGAAAATTCAATGCTGATGAACAGCAGACACAGATGGTTGAGAACTGGTGATTACATACAAATGAAGACTTTATTTAAGCTTTAGGTCCAGGTCAGCACTCTAGTAGTACAATAATTTATGGTTTGCTCTACACCATCTTAATGTAGATGTGATTAGAAGCATAAGTCCAGAGTAGCTAAGCAAAAAACTCATTGATTCTGTGGGATCAGCATGACTATTATCCTATCCTGTCCTGCTGTCTTGATTTCAGAAGAGTTCAAGAGTGTTATGGCTGGGTTGACTAGAGCTGGGAATGAAACTGGGGACTTAGATCTACAGCTTCTTCAGGCTCATGCTTCAGTGATTACAGAAAACAGTGCTATACTGGACACTAGCAATAGGCCACACAATCAGGAAAACAGTGTGGATAGCACCCTCTATAAGCAAATGGGAGCAGCTTCATGCTTGCAGGTCCTGGTCCTCATGGAGGACTTAAACCACACTGGTATCTGTTGGAGAGACAGCACAGTAGGGCTCGAGCAATCCAGGAGGTTCCCTTGAATGGGCTGATGACAACTTCCTCACGCAAGAGAAAGAAAAGCCAACAAGGAGAGGTGCCATGTTAGACCTTGTGCTTACGAACAGGGTAGGGCTCATGTGGAATGTGATGTTCCAGGGCGACCTTGGCTGCAGTGATCACAATATGGTGGAATTCAAGATCCCCAGGGCAGTGAAAAGGGCAAGCAGCAAGAGAACAGACATTGACCTCCTCAGGGACCTGCTCAGTAGGGTCCCGTGGGATAGAGCCTGGAGAGCAGGGGTGCCTAAAAATGCTGGCTGATATTTAAGGATCACTTACTCCAAGCTCAGGAGCAATGCATCCTGACAAGAAGGAAATGAGGCAGAAATGCCAGGAGGCCTCCATGGGTGGAGAACGAGCTTCTGAGCAAATCTGGAAGAAAAAAGGAAGCTTACAAAAGGTGGAAGTGAGGGCAGGCAGCCTGGGAGAAATATAGGGATATTGCCCAGGACGCTAGCGATCAGATCAGGAAAGCTAAAGTCCAGATAGAATTGAGTCTGGCCAGGGATGTCAAAGATAACAGGAAGGGCTTCTATAGGTATGTTGCTGCCGAAAGAAAGACTAGGGATATTGTGAGCCCTCTCCGGAAGGAAATGGGAGACATGGATACCCTGGATTTGGAGAAGGCTGAGGTTCTCAATGACTTCTTTGCCTCAGTCTTCATTGGTAAGTGCTCTAGCCACACTGCTCAAGCCACAGACGCCATGTAGGGGCTGGGAGAGTGAAGGCCTTAAGTCCACCACAGGAGAGGATCGGGTTAGAGATCAACTTCAGAAACTGAATGTGCACAAACCCATGGGAACCAAGGAAATTCATCCATAGGTCCCAAGGGAGCTGGCAGATGAAGCTCCTAAACCACTTTCCATCATATTTGAAAAATTATGGCAGTCAGGTTCTTGACTACTGGAAAAAGGGAAATGTAACCCCCACTTCAAGATGGGGAAAATGGATGACCCAGGGAACTACAAGACCAGTCAGTGTCACCTCTGTGCCTGGGAAAATCTTGGAGCAGATTCTCCTGGAAAGCATGCCAAGGCACATGAAAAACAGTGAGATGGTTGGTGACAGCCAACATGGCTTCACTAAGGGGAAATCATGCCTGACCAATTTGGTGGCCTTCTATGATGGGGCTACAGAAATGACAGACAGGGCAGAGAAACCGATACTGTCTACCCGGACTTGTGCAAAGCATGTGACACTGTCCCACACAACATCACAGAATCATCCTTGTCTCCAAATTGGAGAGACATCGATTTGATGGATAGACCACCCGGTGGATAAGGAATTAGCTGGATGGCTGCATGCAGAGAGTTGCAGTCAACGGCTCAATGTCCAGGTGGAGACCAGTAATGAGTAGAGTCACTCAGGGGTCGGTGTTAGGACCAATCCCGTTCAACATCTTTCTTGGCAACATGACCATTGGGATTGAAGTGCCCTCAGCAGCCTTCCAGAATCTGAAGGGAGCCTACAAGGATGCTGGAGAGGGACTCTAGTGATAAGGGGTAATGAGTTCAAACTTAAATAGAGGAAGCTTAGGTTAGATATAAGAAAGAAGTTGTTTACTGTGAGGGTGATGAGGCACTGGAACAGGTTGTCCAGAGTAGTAAATGCTCCATCCTTGGCAGTGTTCAAGGCCAGGGTGGACAGGGCCTTGAGCAACCTGGTCTAGTTGGAGGTGTTCCTGTCCATGGCAGGGGGGTTGGAACTAGATGATCTTGAGATCCTTTTTAACCAAAACCATTCTGTGATTCTAAGACAGTTTTTACTTGGGGCTTAATTTAACATGAGGAATTATTAGCTAATCATAAAGCACAAAGCAGAGGCTTGAGACCACAACATTAATAACAAGGCTGCAACAAAACGTAGTACTTATACTGCTTTGTGTGAATACACCGCTTCAGAGGAACAAAACTACTGAGCATTCCAAGTCCTCCGAGGAGTGCTTATTACTAGATTGCAGTAAGTGGCTCACATGACATGGCCAAAAGGGGACTCACTACAATCTTATCACAAATTATCAGCAGCACTCTGCTTTGACATGAGAAAAAGCAGCATCCTCTCGCTTCCTAGGCAAGCATGAGTATTTGGAACTATACAGACTGTCTCACCAGTCTTATTTTGGAGCATGAAGCAGCCATGAATTGAGTCTCTTCCCTTAAATCTAGAAAGCAAGTATATTACATTAAAACAAAATATACTTGGGAAAGGAATGAAGGACCAGAGGATTGCTAAACAGTTACAAAGATAAAGTGGGAAACCTAGGAAATAAGTATTTGTGATTTAATTTTTTGCAAGAATGGTGGCAATTGTGCTGGGTCCTGTTCCCAGAACAGCATTAAAAAGAGTAGAGTAGAATGCACATTCAGTTAGTCACATTTTTCTAGAAGCTTCCCAAACAACATCTACCTCTATATCTGAATCTCAGATCCACGTTTCTGAAGTCTCAGATACTTTTCAAATGATCAGTCTCTCTCAGCACACACATGTGGTTTCATTGTTCACAGCCCAGAAAAAAACAAAAAAAAAAGCCAAAACCAAAAAGCACTCTTGGGAGCCTCTACATGCTGTCTTGCAATCTTCATTCCTAGTTTTCTCCCTCATGTTAACAGCTATAAACTCAGCCATTCTGAAGACTTCCAGCTAGAAGAACTGTCTTTTTTTTACAACAAGGTTAAAAGTGGCACAAGCAAAGAGTGTCAGAACAAGACACAGGATGAAGAATGATCCATACAGCATGACAAAGGCTGTTCAAATCCTTGGGACAAGGACCACCACTTAATTGTGGGGGAAGGTGACAGAAAGTACTGAGCTCTGGAAATGCCTCAGGCTCCCTAGGGAAGCAGTATGGCTCTTACTTAAGCTCTCTTTCCTGGGAAGCTCTTAATTTGTGTTTACACTGAAATAAATGGAACAAAACAGTTTATTTGTGGGGGAGCATCTGAGAGGGTGGTTAGTGCAGCCCTGGGGAGGCAGCAGGAAGTGGGATAACCTCAGAGCCAGGCACAGCAGAAAGTACATGAGGAACATTAGTTTCCACATACATAGCTCAGAGGAATCTAGAAACACATCTGAGGGAAGAAAAGGAAGAATAAAAAATAAAGGGGGGGGGGGGGCCAGTTACAGTTTTTTGATGTGCCTTTTTTTTTTTAACCCAGTAGTTGATATTTCTGGAGTAGCTGATAAATTTCACTAAAGCTAACTCATAAATCTCCATGTACACCAAAGTTCTCCACTTAGAACAAAGGCATCAGAGTCAGTCAAGAGAATCTAAGGCCAGAGAGGTAGCTAGTTTGGCAGGTAACTAAGAAACATATTAGCCCTGGCTCCTCCTTTATTACTCTCATCACCCTAAATATCCAAAGATGACAGCATTTATGTTAAGCATGTTGAAAGCTGCAGAATTGTTAATACCCAAGTGCAATGCAGGGACCACACAAATGAATTTACCCATCACAGCAGCTTTAAATGCAAGTCCCAATACCTAAACACAGCATACCTTAAGCCAAGCTTGGTCTTTGGTTTAAGCATTGACTGAGACTAATCCTAGACTCATTTTCCCTGCCCCAAGACTGAGTGTATCCACACGAGCAAAGGGCAGTTTGAGCAGGAGGAGGCCTCTTTAGGAAAGGCTGGGAAGGAGCCACGGGAAAGCGGGAGAAGGCACACTGTGGTACCAGCCACTGATTTCTGGACCTTGTCCCAGCATCTGCTGCCAGTGAGTTCCCAAATCCGTTTGCCAGCACGTAGTTCCGCGCCCAGCTTCTGCCAGAAATAGGCTTTGACGCCACCATGCGGTACTCTCACACAAACACAAGCCCAGAAATACCACCACCACCACTCATTCCAGGGACTGCTTCACACATTCTTCCCTAGTCCTCAGATGCATGTAGGACAACAGTTCAGAACTACATTGGGCTAGATCGCTCAACAGACAATATTAAATGGTCTAAAGAGATATTTAATAACGGACAGCCATCCTTTTAAAGGCCATTAGGGTGCCACAAACTTCAACTTCCCAGCATTTCCCCAGCTCCCTTTCAAGCCCTTTACCATCACACTTTCTAGCAGGAGATTCTGATGAATGACACTGGCACCGGGGCAACAGAGACTCTATGTCCCCTGCCCTAACAGAGGCCTATACTGAGGGGGAAGGGGGGGGAACCCACAAAAAAAAACAACCAAAACAAAACTAACTGGCTTCCTTGCAATAGGGAATATATGTTTCCTTGTAGCATCAGAAAGCTGGAAGTTTCAAACAGTACTTAAGAGCCAATCAACAAAGGTGCCCCCAGTACCTTACCAAAGCAGGTGTCACGATGTGAAACAAAATGTTTACAAGCTGTGGCAATGGCCAGCTCAGCAGAAATCACAGTCTTGATAATCAGGTCCTCCACACTAGCCATCAGTGCTGCAAGAAGGGAAGGAGAAAAAAAAAACAACAAAATAAAAAAAATAAAAACAAATAATTTAAAAAAATTGTGAAGTAACACACAATATCTAAAAAATATGAGAATATGCATATGGACAGATACCTTTGTGAATCAAAGCATGTGAGAGCTTATGGAAGCAAAAGATAACATGCTTGGAAATCCATGCAAGCATAAGTATATAGATACATGCATAAGTATCCTAGTGCAAAAATACAAATGAGAATGACAGAAATGAGTATACGTACAGTACAAGTAAGCAGAAACATGTGGCAAGCACATAAGCACAAGTCAGCTGGAGTCTGATCATCGCCCACTCAGAGTATTAGGAAGGATTAAACAAGAGCGAGGCAGTGAGATAAGCCCTTAAATTACAGAAGCCAAGTCACAGGCACTGAAATACAGATATTTTTCTTGCGGACTTTGAGGAGATAACTGTTCTGTGATTGCACCTTCCTCTAAAGCAGCTGTTCCCATACCACAATTCACAAATAATTTCAAAATTATATGCCTGGTGACAGCTCCCAGTCCTGCCGACCCATAGATAATCTGCAGTTGCAGTAAAGGAGCTCTCTTCACGTCCTTTATGAGTCTAAACACAGCTCAGGAACAGGAATCTGACCTGACAGAGGGAGCAAAAGGCAAGAAAGGATGCATGCTAGATGTAGACCTCGATTCTAGACTCGGTTTGGACTTGAGACACTTACTTTCTGTTTTCAAGGACAAGCAATAGAGGAAGAGGGGATGAAAGAACACTGGAGCCCTGGTCTGAAAAGTTAATAGAGACCATAGGACATGTCTCAAAGGGAGGTTCAAGCAAAGACCTCCAGCAAAACCACACAGACATTTGGTAATCCCTGTTCCAAAGAACATCCAGTACAAACCACTTGACTAGAGAGTTCAATTAAGGCCTACGATTACTTTTTCTCATGTTCAGATGATGACAAGCAGGGACCTGAAAATTACAGCAGACCTTGCAAGCAAATTCAGATGTGAGCTTCTGTGCCAGAAGACAACTAAATGGAAGCAATACAGCATGGGAATGTCTAAGTGCACATACACATCCCAGAGCACAAAAATCTTGCCAGCCCAGACAAGGCCAGCATTTCCCAGCCACCATTCTGCCTCCTTAGGACCAGAACCAGATGCATCAGAGAAAGGTGCAAGATGCCTTGTAACGGATAGAGAAACCTGCTTGCATTGCTCAGTAGTTTACTTAATTTTTAAGAATGAATATCTACACTTTAGGTTGGGGTCTGGAAATGTATCAATATAAATAACTATGCATACATAGCTTAACAAAAACATACGGTGCAAGTGATCAGACAGCCATGCACGCACATGATGGGGAAAAAAACCTATTCCCATCCAAAAGCCAGATTAAAACCCCCTTCATCCAATATCTAATTGTCCCCTGGCAACATCTGCAACATGGGCATAGTTGCTGTCAGTAGCATTACTGATGCCTTGGTATCACAGGTAATTTATCCCTTAAAGGATATACCTGGATTCTGCTCTGCAGATGTACTTACTCCCAGCAGACCTGGCAAAGGTGTGGAAGAGGGAGCTGTTTTATATGAAACACAGACTGAAATGAAAACACCCAGCAAAAACCTGAGCCATGGAAAGATGACACCACATCCAAGAGTCATTCAAACTGGCACAGTTCTCCAGAGGTTGGTCACTCATCAGACTGAACAGGCCATGGGAGCAGTAGTGGGAGGGAAGCTTTTAGAAGGAATGGAATGACCTTAAGAAACGGGAAATGTAGGTAAAATATTAAGAAACACACCCTGAGAAAGTCTCAGACTATTATTTGCAAAAGGGGAGGGAAAGGCCTCATCTCTGGGGATAGAGAATAAATGCACAGCTCTAGTAAGTAAGCTGCAAGGGACAATGCTTCCCTCCACCCTGCTCTGGTGCTAAATGGGACCCGCTTTGCTCTTCCCTGACTTAGGATTCACACTAGTGAGATGATTAAGATCCAACAAAGGAATAAAAGAACAAGATCTGTACTGACCTGCGGTGTCTTTCCCCTCTTGTTTTAAGTACCTCAGCATTGCACTCATGCTCCACTTGCTTCCATAATCCTCTACCTCAGGATCATCACAGCTAAAAGTAAGTGAAAGAAGCAGGTTGACACCACTGACCTTCCTTTAGAGACTTGCATCAGCCTTAGACCAACCTACATAAATTGACCCAACCTCTAAAGATCAAGTTCCATTTTCCAGCCAAGTACCTGACATAATCTCCACTCTTCTTGTTGACACTGTAATTGGTCAGGTGCATGAACTGGTTTTTAATGTTCTTGGATGCCTGGTCATACCTCACTGTTGCAAACCTGTAGAGGGATAAAGATTCTCAGTATTTCTTGAACAAGTGACAGCCTTGCTAAATACAGCCTATTACACGGACCACTCAACAGCAGCAGCTAGGGAGAGAATGCATGGAATAAGACTTCATCAAATGCAACCTTCCCTCACAAAGAAACCCCACAGTTTATTCTTAAGGGCCACATCCAGGTGCATTTAATCTTTTTTCCAGAGTCTCAGAGCAGGTAGCTCTATTTGTTGTCCTTAGAGTTTTTACAGCCTGTGTACACGATCGGCACATTTTTTTCTCAACTGCTTAGATTTATGGTCCTCAGCCATTCTGGCCAAACATGCCCCTTCACTTTAGACAGTCAGCGTCACAGTTCCTTCAATTTCACAATAGGACCTATCATGAATATGTAAGATCCACTGGTCCTGGGAAATGTATACATTCAGAGCAATCATACTACGTATGCAGTCAATATTTCCTGAAGTCTCATACAAGCATGGCTCAGTTCTTGTGTACTCCAAAGATACCTTAAGAAAGGCTGAGGCTGGGAACATATTTCTATCACCAACAACTACACACCAGCCTACAACAGTCAATCCTCTTTCTCAAAAGGCACCCAGGAAACTAGGTAGAACTTGAAGGCCAAACCAATTTGTCCAACAAGGCAGCATCTACTCCAAGGTGCTGTCATTCTCAGGGACTACGCAGCCTTTCCATATCTCAAAAATGTCACCTAGCTGTGTACAAGGAAATGGACTGTAGGGAAGATTGGAATCAGTAACAAGACACTGCTACAAGCTTATTTAGCGTCCATATGAACCCTGTTACAGCCAACAATACCACAGTTAAGTCAGCCTATTTATTATGGAAACAGTGGTGATCTCCTGATTGAAAGGCATTACCTGTACTGTAACCAAGTACCCCATCACCACTCCCTTAGCCATACACTAACATCATGGATGTTTGTGTTAAAATGAGTCAGTAAATTGATCCAACTGAAAAACAGCCAGGATTTTGATATGTAAGGTGGTTGATGGATTTTTTTGTTTCGGGGTTTTTTTTTTGGTTGGGGTTTGTTTGGGTTTTTTCTTTGGTTTGTTTCTTTTTGTTTGTTTGTTGTTGATTTTGTTGGTGGTGGTTTTGGGGGCTTTTTTGTTGGTTTTATGGTTTTTGTTGTTTGATTTGGTTGGGTTTTGTTTGTTTTTTTTGGGGGAGGGCTAGGGTAGAGTTTTTGCATGAGTGTGTTGAGGGATGGCAGTGTTCAGGGCCAGGTTGGACAATGCCTTGGGTGACATGGTTTAGTGTGAGGTAGCAGGGGGGCTGGAACTAGATGATCTTAAGGTCCTTTCCAACCCTAACCATTCTGTGATTCTATGGTGCAAGAAGGGTATGAAAGGACAAAGGTAGATCAACTCCCTGATCCAGCTACAAAGCTGTAACTTGATAAGCTTCACCCCCCACAGTGGCTACACAGACTTAAGCTATCTCTACTCTCTTTCCTCAACTATCCCCTTCCTTTTACCTGCAAAATATGAGCACAAGAGTATCTGTCCTGCACAGAAGCCATCTAAAACCAGCCTTTTGTGCCGAGCTATTTATCAGACTAGCTCACTGCATGAGTACAGAAATGCTTGTGGTAACACAATACAATGGACATCACAAGCTCCTAAATGACCACAGGAATATAGCTCAAAATTGCACTGAAGCAATTTAAATAGTAATCTTATCAATAGCACACCTCTAAGAGGAGATTGAATGAACGCTGAAAAAATGTAAGCTTCTGGGGGAAGCGAAAAAACTTCCTATAATCACCTGCTAATACAGCTGCCCATGCTACCCATCCATTCCAGTTTGCACTGTGCAGTGATAAGAACTTATTATATGTACCTGTGACAAGAAATGAAAGGGTCAACATGAGAATGGAAACAACAGCCAGGAAGAGTGCAGGACTTATTCTTGATAGCTGTACCAATTTAAAATGTTTACAATTACATCTTGTGCAAAAGTTGTTTTCTAAAACGTGTAGTTGCACCATCAGCCTTTGTCAATCTAAGGATGCACTGCAGGTGAAAGCTCATCACCCACTCAGCTGCACACTCCAGATACTCAATCTGCTCCAGAAATTACATAGCCACAGGCAAATCAGGTCACTTCATAGATCTGACTGAACAGCCACTTAAGCAAATATAGAAAGATACCAATTAACTTTCAATCAGATGCAGGTACACCCTTTTTCAGACGTAAGAGTGTTAGGATGCAGTCAGGACAGAAAGAGGGTAGTGACTCCATTTTAGGAGCAGGCCACAAAAAATCTTAAAAGAAAAAAAATGAATCAAGCATTAAGCAGAATATAATACTACTTGTGGTGACATTTGCAAAACCTATATCCAGCCATGGGCATGCCAAAAAGTTGTATATAATGTCACAGAACAGTTATAGTTGGAAAGGACCTAAAAGGATTGTCTAGTTCAACTGCAATATTTCTCTTATTCTGCATGTAAACAATTCCTGTTTCAATGTATATTTTAGGCCTCAGACTTTGGAGAAAAATATATAAATCAAAAGATTGAGGGAAGAATCCAGGCCACCTAGTTGGGAGAATGACCAGCATAAGCCACTGTTAATCACTACAACCCATAACAGCGAGCATGTTCTAGCTCAAAAAAACAACAAAAAAACAACAAAAAAAAACAAACCCCAAAACACACAAAACAAACTAACAAGGAAAAAAACACAAACCCAAACAAAAACCCGAACCATTTTCACTCTGACCATCCTCCTATACCACAAGATGTCAATGTCTTAAAGAGAGAAAAGGGGTAAAGAAAGTGTAAAAGGGAAGTCCGACATACAATATAATAAGAAGCCCTGGCAAGAAGGAAAGAAAGTACAGAGAAGAGCAGGGTTAGTTGCAAGAAAAGAAGAGTAGATTTGGAGAAAGACCCAAAGCAGGAAAGGGAAGGCAGTGCTCAGGAAAAAATGGAGGAAGGAAGGGAATTTGGAGCATCTGGCTGTGCAATTAAGTTAATGTCCAGAAAAGAATACACCCCCAGTTAGCTTTATTGTCATATCTCTTCATCCGTTCCCTATTACTTTCTGTAGTTCAGAAGCTGAACTATACCAGGATATCTAACAAGTTACAAACAAAAATTCCTTCCTTTAGAAAGGACTGAAAAAAAAAATACTAAAATTCTAATTTCTCAGTGAAAATGAAGACACTACTGCCCTCACTTGGTAGCCACTGTAGAACTAGCACTCTGAAGAACTAGACTAGCAAATCCATGAAGATACTCATCAGATTAAATCTATCCCTAAATACACAGGTAGGAGAAGCAAAGGAGAAAAAAAAAGAAACGTATTTCCAGAGCTTAAAGTATTTGAATTTCTTTTCAGTTTAACTGTAACTTTCCAGGATTTAGCACTGAAATAGCACTTGTTGATAATGTGGTTTCAGCCAGATCTTGGAAGATCCTGAGCACAAGCAGCAAGCTATTGCAGAAAGTCATGGGTATTTCATGAAGTGGAAGGCAATTAGGTTCACCATGCTCATCTGCTTCTTATTTTTTTTAGGTATGCACATCATCAGAAATATGAGGATATGAACCCCTGACAGACATAGACAATACTTCTAAACAACAGAATTTCCTTACCTTGTAAATGTTTGCATTAGCTTCCTACTACAGAGACCATCCTTAATTTTTAGGTGGTCTGAGCTCTACACCCATAGAATTTACTTTTCCATAGGAACTAATTATTCAAAAGGGATTTCAATGGCTTCTAGAGTGCTCAGTATATAAACTTTCTCTTCTACTAGGATGCTGTTATCTCAAGGGATATCATGGGTTAATTCAGCAATGCATAAAAAAAAAAAAAACAAACAAAAAAACAAAACACAAAAAACAAACAAACATTTCATGACTCAAAGCAACTCAAAACTAACACTGGCTTAATACATTCTCCCAGAGCTGGTTTGACAGCCTTACTAGCCTTAAGCACGAGTCTGCAAATGGAAATGTAAGTCATTTCTAGAGCCTCTATCAAAAGCCTCCGAGTGTCAGAGGAGTGATACATCACACCACTGGCAGTAGTGCACACCCTTTGCACTGTCTTCCACACTTGCCTGGGGTGGAAGACTGTTAAAACTACTGAAAGAGTAGCTAGTGACCTTCACTCTCTAGTTCTACAGCTTTACATACTACACTGTATCTTTCTTCCACTGTAGTAACAAAGCTACTCAGCCACCACACTTGTTCTCGGCAGGAAAGCCAGGAGACATGCATTCTACAGAATGTCTTGCTTCAACAGAAATTTACAGGTTATTTCTAGAGATATTAAAGTCAGAGGAAAGGGCTTACAGCAAGAGTGAAAAGTAGGATAACCTCAACCCCTCTAAATTCTTCTAGGTGTTAACCGAGATCAGTATAAATTCTTGAGATACCTTACAATCTTTCAGAGGATGATTTTGTTCCGGGGGCACCACTCTTTGGGCAATTTTATTCCAGCGACCCTGCTCTTTTGACAATTTGGCTTGAGGGGGCAGGGAGGGAGCATTCTTTCAGCTATTTGCCTCGGGGGGTCCCCACTCTTTTGGCAATTTCATTCTATGTTCCTCTCTTTTCCAATTCCTGGCCAGTTCCAAGAATAGAATGTTTGTCACCTAAAAGGGCCAAGATCCTAAAAGCAATTTACAGAGACTATATGGTAAGGTGGCACAGAAAATAAAGGGCAAGCCTGATGTTTTCCCAGTAACACAATTTAGCACAAGCACATGCTGCAACATTCTGCACAAGCTATTTTCCTAAGCACTAAAGGCTTCATGCCCAGGTATCTCGTATTCCTGTAACCCAGCCAAAGAGTGATGAAGGCACAAATAACTGTGGCCAGTTCATCATCTGCCAGGACAGGACTGTTTCCTAGCCAAAGCATTACTCGAGGGCACTGCTATGTGGGAGCATGTAACCAGCCAGGAATCCAAGAGTATTCCCAAACTGGAGGATGGACTGTCCATATGTGGAAGCA